GGGGCTTAGGGCTTAGCAGGGTTAAGGGGGGGGGAGGGCTTAGGGTTGTGTGGGGTTTAGGGTTCCGTTCCAGGCCCTAGGCTTTCGTAATCTCCCGCGGAGCTTCCTGGGTCTATGGTAGTCTCAGAGGGTTTAGGGCTTAGGGCTTAGGGTTTAGGGCTGGAGCCGCTCAACAAGTCTGCCGATGTTGAATTCTCGGGTGTGGAGCATTGCGAGTGCCACTCATCAAACGACAGCTTCTGCCAATTGAGGGTCCTAATGGCGGCGTTATGTACCTGGTTGTATATGTATATGTCTATTTATGTAATATATGTATATATGTAAACAGTATACATGTATTTCTTTATGTTGCTCTTCTCTGCAGTGCCTTGAACCCGTTGCCTCTTGTGTTTTCGGGAGCGGATTCCAGCGCTACCCGGACGGGATTGGTTCACCCTCGTCGGAGCGAGCAGGCATTTCACCCAGTTCTGGACGTGCTAGACAGTGCTAGAGGCGCGTCCTCCGGACAAGAGGCCTGTAGAAGAAGAAGAAGTCTTTATGCTGTTTAGTGGCCTATTCATTCATGCATCATACTCACCTATCCTATTGAAAGATTCCTTTCTATTTAGCTAAGATTATTCTTTATAAATCACGTATCTCAAGCTGCTGTTGAAACGCAGAAGCACTCGAAGTGCAAAATCTCACGAGCGGACTAGGTATTCTGTATATCCTACATGAGCCGAAAAAAACTTCACCATCAAAATCGGTCCGGAACCTAAGTCCTCTGAGCAGCTCTAGTCCCAACTGATCTTAACCTATATGAGCCCCAAAACTCAAAAGCTTCACCATCGGAACTGGTCCGGTACCTGAGCCCCCCTGCTCCTCCTGTCCCAAACACTGAACTTCCTAACCCAGAGAGCCCAATACCCCCTTAAATTAAGGAAAATACCTTAAATCCTAATATTAAGGCCCCTATAATTCAAGGTATATTCATGATTTAAGGGCTATTGGGCTCTCTGGGTTCCGAAACAGCACGCACGTGAGCCGACCCGACCTCCTGCTGCGAGAAAAACGCGCCAGGCGCCCTTCATCAAAACGGCAGGGTTGATCTCAAGACGTTGTAGGCTGCGCTATGTGATAGGGTAACGGCTGGACTATGTGCATCGATGTATAGCTACTTCTGCCGGTAACATCGTCGTCGTCCCCGATGGTCGACATCGTCGCCAGAGCCACAGTAATAGTTAGTCTTACCCTCAACCCTAAACCTTAAACCCCGAACCCTAAACAGTATGGAGGAGTAGGTGGAGTGCCACCGTCGTAGTGGTTGGGGATCATAGCAAGAGACAGCACAGCACCAAACAGACGGGCACGTCAGAAGTTCGCACCTGAGCTTTAGCAAAGAGATGCAAATAGAAGCACCGAAACATCGTTTCAGGGCTTTAGGACTTAGGGTTTAGGGGTTTAGCGTTTGAGGGTTTAAGGTTATTTGAAGCTAAACTTGGATGGATGACCTAAGCCATGGGCCTCTAAGGTCTGTTGGGTGTTCCAAGGTTGAGTAAATACACAGATCATATGAGTTTATAAGGTTTAGGGTTTAGAGTAAACCCCCCAAAAAATGGAAACCGCATTAAGGACAATTAGTGCTGCGATTGCCTATATATTACATACTCTTAAGGATTGAAGATATTTGGTTTCCCACTGTTGGGCTTCCACTCAAGGGGGTCCACAGCAAATTCTCGAAGAAAACGTGCATCTCCGTATCCTCCAGCTGATCTTCTCAACTGGTCTGCTTTCATGGCTCTTGCCCTTGCGGGTGGTTCGCCCGGAAGTGGTTGTGGATTCTGGTTTTCTGGCGCCGCCGTGGATTCAGGCATTTATTGTCTAGAGCCTTCGGCTCCGAGATTAAAATCAAAAGTCCACTGTCTAGTACATGAAAGTTTCTGTCTCTGAGGACAGGAAGGGCGACGTTTTAGGGTTTAGGGTTTAGGAACCAAAAGAGCTCCAAGTCCGCATCTCTGCAAGGCTCTTGTACATGTATCGGACACTATAAGACCCTGAACCCTAAACCAAGACAGACAAGTTGGGCTGCAGCTTCGAGTGTCTGCGCTTGTTCGTGATGCGTCCGGCCACGTGTTGCTTCCAGTTGTCGGGAGTCTGGGCTTCAGTAGTTCTCTAAATTAGGGTCCCTTCTTAGGTCCACCATATGGTACGGCACCCGCACAAGAAGGGAGAACTAGCCATATACATCAAAGCCGATTCCGAAAGCTCCCAACCCGAAACACCAAAATCGAAATCCTCACCCTCTGGCAAACCCCATGAAACCCCCTATACAACCTTGTGAAACCCTTCAAACCAACCGGATAAAAGCACTACATTCACTACATAACCACACGGAACCCCCTATTAAAATCTTTGCTAGACGCTGAAGGCACCCATAGAAGCCTCTACAAAACCCTACGAAGCCACCCTTTGTAAACCCTAAACCCTAAGTGTGCTTTCTGTCAGAAGTGCCTCCCAGCTCTGCACTTCGTGCCGCAGCAGCTCCATCTCCTCTGGTGTGTCACCCCACCTATAATCCTAAACCTTAAACCCTAAACCCTGGACCCTAAACCCTGAACCCTAAACCTTAAACCCTAAACCTATAGTCTCCATGATAGTTCCTTTTTTTCGGGTTAACCAACTTTATAGCTAAGATCCTATAAAGTAACCCCAAAAGGAACTACAATGGAGACCATAGGCAGTTCAAGCAACCCCTACGAAGACGGATCCTTGACACGAGGCTACCATAAATTAACCTTCTTGACCTTAAACCCTAAACCCTAAACCTTAAACCCTGAACCCTAAACCCTAAACCCTAAGAGTTCTCTCCGTCCCCGAAGCCTTCCACATGACACGCTCCAATGCTTAGACGGGCACGGCTCAGAGGCAAGCCTGAACAAGCTTCAAGTCTTCAAGGCCCTCGGTTTCGGGTGTAGGGTTTAGGGGTTTAGGGGTTTGGGGTTTAGGGGTTTGGGGCCAGGATTTAGGGTATAGCGATTTAGGGTTTAGGGTTTGGGGGTTTAGGGGTGTTAAGGGGTTAGGGGTTTAGGGGCTAGGGTTTAGGGGTTTAGGATTTAGGGCTTTAGGGGTTTAGGGGCTAGGGTTCTAGGGGAACTCTGAAGCTTCACGGCTTTGCGTGCCCATCCAAGAGCTACAGCTACCACTTGGAGGGTCGTGGGACCTACTCAGTAGTTTATGTCATAGACAAATATGATAACCCCAACTAGGACCTCTTCTAGGGTACTTATAAGTCTACTGAGTACCTACTTACTGAGTCCCCCGACCCTCTAGGCACACATTAAAAAAAACAAAGCAAGTAACAAGGCCTAGAGTTTTGGCCCAGTTCTGGCATCCAAAGCCCAAAGGCTGTTCGAGCCTGGATGCTCGAACTGGGCCAGGGCTTCGGGATTTACCATGTGAGCTCAGTGGAAACATTCAAGAAAAAGAAGCTGACAAGATACCTGACGAGTCTGTTCTGTGCTCTGATGCCTTGCCACGCACCTCCTGCACCTGTCCGTCCCTGAACGCAAGACCCAGACTTCAATTGCGCTACCTAGTCGCAAAGTACTACACGCGAAGGGTTCATGTACCCATATCGTATATACTTTAGACCCTTCAAGTACTCCCTATGTAGGTACTTTAGGGGTGCGACAGTGCAGCCCCAGAAACCTCGAACTTCAGATAGAAGGCTCGAGCCTCTAAACCCACATGTAATCGCATGTACATGACTAAAATCCTCTGCAACTCGTCTATGGAACGAGCAAAGCGCGGGCACCCCCGTACTCCTAAATCCTATAAATCCTAAACCTCAAACCCTAAACCCTAAATCCTAAACCTTAAACCCTAAACCGGAAGGGTCCTCTGTGGACCAGCCGAATCCACTTCGGCCATCCCGCGCCACCAACACCGCGGCCGCCGCGAGACGGGCGAACTGGCGGGGTCGGAGTCAAAGGCATTCGGGCTTAGGGTCAGGCTAGGGTTTAGGGTTTAGGATTTAGGGTTTGGGGTTTGGGGTCTAGGGTTTAGGGGTAGGTTGATTGGGTTTAGGGGTTTACTGTAGCTTGCCTAAGGTTTAGGGGAGAAGCTCAGGTTTTAGGTATATAGGTTTAGCGTGTATGGTGGGGTAGAAGGGTTAGGGAGTGTTTGAGTCATGGGGAGCTTCCATCTTGGGACAGGTCTTGCCAGCACTGTAGAGAAAAAGACTGTGAGCGTGGGTTAGGGTCTTAGGGCTTAGGGGTTCAGGGTTTAGGGCTCAGGGTTTGGGATTTACGGCCAGGGTGCACAGTTCGAAAAAAAAATCCTCGAACTCCCAAGCACCGGCTGAGCACCAAGCAGCGCACAAAGGCTCGTGGGTAGCCGTAAGATGCTGTAAGCACATCTAGGAAGCAGGAAAACCAGAGACATGCAAAAAACAGCCCACCACCCAGCACTTCTGAGTCTATACTGTAGGGGCCTAAATAATTCGAATAGGGTTTTGGTGGTTCTTTAGAGATTATCAGCATAGTAACATACTATAATATACCCCCAAACCCTATTCTAATTAGGAAGGCCCGTTTATACGACCCACAAACGCACAAGACGTAGGCCTCTAATTTCGGGCACAGGTGTTCAGCTGTTGCGATCTCGGGGGTGATTGAAAGCATAGAAAGTGTGAGGGGTAGGGTTTGGGGCTTAGGGTTTAGGGCTTAGTTCTTCGGGGTTTCGATTGCCCACGAACGAGGTGTATGGGGTTTTGGATTTAAGTCACCCACATGAAGACGAAGAGCTCCAATCCAGTAAACAATCTCTGCAATGCAATTCCCCCGCCCACCCGCCCAAGAAGCGGATGTTTTCCCGAAGCTGGCGATGTCACTCGGCCTGTTTATTGAGGCCCGCATCGGAACAAGAACTGCTGGATGAATCCGATGAGCTGGTCGCAGGGCGACCCTTTCTATCACCATCTAGCTCAACGGACCGAAAGCAGTTTCTGCAAGGCTTCACACGTAAGTCGTCAACGTTCCAGACGCGGTATCTGCAGCTTGCTGCTGCAAACGGCCAACCACAGGCCACTCGCCAATCCTTCGCAGGGATGTCAAGAGCCATATGGGCCACTTTGTGTCCCACATCGGTTTCTTCGTTGACAATAAATCCAACTTTGCCGACCGAATCTGAGAGCTCAAATTTTTGACGAAGCTCTTTGAGCTCTGTCACAAGACTCTGATGTTCGGTAGCCTGTGCCTCAAGCAAAGTCCTAAGCTGCTCCAATGCCTCACGCGACTCATCGCTGCAATTCCTAGGAGCCGCCGATGCTGTCCAGCCCCCTTCCGTTGACGTGACAGCTCTGGAGAACTCTCGACTCAAAACGTTCAACGGGGATTCGGCGACATATCTTTTGATGATGGGTGACACCCATCTCGCAAGCAACGATATAAGAGATTCACCTAGACCAATAGAGCTCAGATATTGAGCTCCGGAGACTCGCATCGAATGACCTCCAAAGCGGGGTCTCCCGCTACCATCAAACAAAGATACCCCCAACAGCGTGGCCAGCATCTCAATCGATCTGACCACAGTTTCCTTCTCCGGAAACCTCCCTTCAGCAGTGGGAAAAAGAGGCTGCTCAGGAGAAACTTGCTTGTACGATGATAGCTTGTGCAAATGTTCGTGCATGAGGTGCACGGGGCATAACTCAGACTTCACGGCACAAATGCAACTCCAAGTGCGAGTGACGGACAGAGCTTTGGGATCAGTCTTCGACGCTGGGAGAAGCCAAGACAGCTTGCCGGCCTCTGCATCCAGCCTGACATGTCCAATCCGGGCGAGAGAAATTTCGATCTCTCGCATCATAAACATGCATCCCAACACAAATAAGGTTCTAGGGTTTACTGGCCAATCCTTTCGTGCAGGCTCGAACTCAGCCGCCGTTGATGCAGCGGCCACTACGTCCAACGGTGCTGATTGCTTCGCTGGACCCTGTCCTCTCTCGACAGACCTCTTCGCTTCTCTAAACGCAAGCTCAAGTTGGTCAGTCCACGAGTGCCCTTCACGAACGTGTTGAGTCTTAGCCCTGGACAAGTAATTGCCCCATGAGCGGTATCCTCCCCGCTTGGCCATGGCTGAGATCCCTTCCACCTTCGATCGGTCGAGAGGTAAATAGGCTTTGTTGCCAAACCATTCTTCATGGAACGTTTTCCAAGTCGACCACAGTGAATCGTTAGATTTGTGGGCTGACCTGGCAGCGAAGTCTGAACGGAGCTCGGCCAAAGCTTGAGCTTTGTCGCGTGCTGCATCGAGAGCTTTCTCCCGGTCAGCCCTTTCTCTATGATCGACAACAGGCTCATCCTTTCTCACAGGCACTCTACAAGGGGGGGCAACCGAATGCCCACCCAAATCCACTTTTGCAAGAAATTGACATTTGCGTTTGGGCATGAAACCTACAATTCGGATGAATGCTCCCGGCAGGGAAAACAGAGCCGAGAAGCTTCGCCAGTATGCCCAAACATGATTCAACATATGCCCAAGTATATGATTCAAAACTCAATCCCATTGGCCAGTCTCCGCGAGAGGCGTCCTTGACCGGATCCTATGGGCCAGTCTCCGCGAGAGGCGTCCTTGACCGGCCTGGGACTGTTATGGTACTTTGATACCATCATCAGAGGGTCTCTGCGAGAGGCATCCTTGACCTTGATGTGATATCTTGCTGGGCTTGCCACGTCAGAGGGTCTCCGCGAGAGGCGTCCTTGACCATGACGTAGCATCGCTGACTGCAGGTCAGAACGAATCATCAGGGCATTGCCCGATTGGAAAACATTTGGCAACACGGCTCTCTCCTTTCAAGGTTTCATATTCGCAGAAGGTTCATAATCAGAGCTCATGGCTCCGCACATCATGACTGCATTGAGAATGCTCGCAAATAGGCATGATAATAGGCACTCCGTCCCGGCGTCCAAACCCGGCCGATCGAAATCACACGTCTCAGCGCCAAATAAACTCATGCCTTGTTCGCGATCAGAGCTCATAGCTCTGTCTTCATCAAAATTTATGGCTCCGCACCCTGTTCCCAATCAGAGCTCATGGCTCCGCACCATGTTTACAATCAAGGCTCCTGGCTCTGAATGCTGCTCCCTTTATCAGAGCTCATGGCTCCGCACACTGAGCAAACATGCTCACAACCAGAGCTCATGGCTCTGCACGCTGTTCCTTTATCAGAGCACATGGCTCTGCACACTGAGCCAACATGCTCACAACCAGAGCTCATGGCTCTGCACGCTGTTCCCATTGATCAGAGCTCATGGCTCCGCAGCTGCGCAAGCACACGGAGCGAGCACGCAGCACTCCCAGAAGGACTTTAGACCTTCGATTGCCGTTCTGCTTGCGAGTGCTGCAGCCGGAAAAATTCGGCCGTGCGTCTAGGTGCACTGGTTTCTGGGACATGTTTCAGGCTGAGCGGCACTGACCATCCTCGTTCATACCTTGGGTCGAACTTTCGGGACAAAAGGTCAGCCCGCACATTAGCCACGCCGGGTATGTGAGCAATGATGCACGGCGCGAAAGACATATCGGCGTATTCTAGCGCCGTCTCCTGAGCGATGATAGACGCTCCCGCTCCAGACGTCTTTAATGCAGATGCTACCGTCAGAGCGGAAACACTGTCCCCTACAGTTTCAAAGATCACCCTCTTGCGAGCCCATTCTGCCCGCCACGACTTTAGCGCTACTAGGAGTGAGAGGGCTTCCCACGTCTGCTGGCCTGCCGAGTCCCCCCGTTTATGGTTGAACATCAACTCATCTTCAGGGCCCAGTGGCGATGCAAACCACGCGATTGGTGTATGGTTTTTGGTCAGAACCGCCCCTAAACCCCAAGGCGAAGCGTCGAAGATAATCGATATCCGGTCGCCTTGGTTGAGATAGGGCTCAAGAGGGTAAACGCGTCTCAAGGTGCCCGTTTGACCAGTGAGGCACGCTTCCAACCACATGAGAGAAACATGAACCTGTTTTGTCCACACAGTCCCCTTCGGGGCGCCTGTGTTTGCGGATCCAGCTTGTGCGATCGCTGCCCATAAGGGTCTGATGAAGGGTCGCCACACTGGAATGAGCGAGGCAACATGTGAACATTTCCCCGCAAAGGAACGTAGTTGTTTGAGTGAGATAAGGTTCCCTTGCCGAAAGTCCCGCAGTGCTCCCAAAAGGGCCTCCACAGTCTCGTCCTTTACGGCAACTTCCACGCCGTCGGTGTGGAAGGTGAGTTTGGCTCCAATCCAAATCACACTTTGACCATATTGCGCCTTAGGGAAGGCCAATTTGAAACCAAGAATCATCCAGAAAAGCGTGAATGCGGCGGCGAGTTCATCGGTGGACTGCTCAGTGCCACCAACAGTGACCAACGGGTCATCCACGAAAGTTTGCAACTGAAAAGGGTCAGCTGCGAAAACTCCTGCAGTAATTCTGGATACCAGGGCAATGAATCTGCACCAAGCAAGCGGTGCATTTCGTGAGCCCTGTGCCAACCTTTCGTAGATGATGTATTTCCCTCGGTACTTGGTGCAAAAGTATCGTCTTTCATTGCACCGTAGAGGAAGCTGCCAAAAGGCGTCGGAAATGTCGATAGCGAAAAGCTTCACAACAGGATGTCGATGACGCAATGTCTCCAACATTCCATTGCAGGCATCAATCAGTCTTGGCAGAACGATGCGATGTGTCCGGCATGCCTGATCATTAACACCCGACCTCAGGCAGTCCAAAATGAGTCGACGTTTAGTCCGAATCAGGTCCCCAACCTGATTGTAGATGTGCTTGGTGATCATCGCCAGCTTGGACAAAACAGGCGATTCGCCTAAATATAGCCTGGCTTCTTCCAAGGAATCCACAACCTTAACAAAGCCAGTGTTGATGAAGTCCTCGATGACCGGGCCAGCTTCAGGATCACCCTCCACGCTGGAATAGCTAGAAAATCCTTCCAATTCGGACCAACCAGAAACCATCTCATCCTCAGCAGCATCCACGGGATCATCAGTGACAGGGAAGATTCCTGGGTCCTGTATGTTCTCGCGAATTCCCGCCGGAGCTCCTTCTACCAGCCATTCCACAATGGAGCGGTCAGGGTCGGCCGCTTTGCTGGCGATGGCTTTCAAAAGACCATAACGCAAGTCGGTCTTGCATGTATCGGAGTCAACTTTACCAACATCCGACACCCCGAGCCTAGATCCCCAAAAGGAGCGAACGGGTTCCAAGTCGATCAATGGAGCGTCTTTGTTGGACATCAGTTGAAGGATATCGGCCTGCAATGACGGGAAAGCCTTCCAGGTGTCAGAGATGATCTCACGGATAGCCGATCCTGCTGACACAACTTGAGATAGCCGATGATTGTTGCGCGAGGGGTTTCTGAGACCGCCAATACAAGAATCATCTTCCAAGCGGCGCCGCCTTTTTGCGTCTGGCTCGACTCCAGCCAGATTCCAAGTCATATCAACCTGGGGGTGCTTGAACTCTCTAATTGAGTCGCGATGCCAAGTTCTTCCCAAGCCGTCTGGCCCATTAGGCCTCCGCATTCTTAAAAGCCGACGCTTAAGTGCCGCCTCTGAAAGAACAAGGGCGAGCTCGTAGTTCATGAGGTGGGGGTAAGCCGCTGACTTTTTCGTCTTGTATCTGCCACGTTTGTCCTTACCCCACAGGGGCTGGTGTGCCCTATACGTCCGAACACCTTTTACCCGCATCCAATGTCTTGGGTGTTTGCAGGTGGTGGGGAGGTGGTCCAACTCCACCAACCATGTGATCAGCGTAGTGGGCTTAACGCTGAGAGCGCCCAAATGGCACTGAACAATGTCGAATCTGCGAACACCCGGCCTGCGCAGTACCTCTTGCCATTCGGGGAAATGGTAGACGGATACCTGGTCAGGTTGCTCCAGTGGATGTTCGTGTACAGCAGGAATTCCTTGATCAATAGCCGCTTTGAATGCGAAAAGGGCCCTGAACGCCAGCAAAGTGCCTACGCGTGCCTGCTCCTTCTCCTCACGACTCAAATCTGATTTGCCATACAGCCCCTTGCCCCATGCCTCGCGTAGGGGTTTTGGTCCCCCATCATCTTCGCATCGAGCCACCGAAAATGTTTCACATGGGGGGCCCATAAGCAAACCCTCAAATGTCCCCGAGGTGATCTTCAACATCAGGTCTTGAAAAACCCCCTCATCCACAAGATTCTGAGCATGAGGGTCATTAACGATGTCAAATTCCATGCAATGTATACCGCGCTTCGCCAGTTCAGCAGCGAAGCCATCGGATCTGCCAGCAGGACCTGAAAAGAGATGTGCCACAGTAATATCGAAAAACTTCCTCTTCGGGGCGGAATTTTCGTCAACCGAAGTCGAATTCATCCGTCCCGCCACCTTTGAGGTATCTCGATCTGGGCTGTCTCATTTGGTCCTACGCTTACCTGACCCCTTACCGCCACGGCCGCGCCCACGTTGAAATTCCGGCGCGGTCTTGGTGCAACTTGAACCGATATGGTCAGTCGAGAGGCACCTGTTGCACTGATGGACTCGATTCGAATCCTTAGCGCATCGGCCGTATTTGTCAACTTCCTTGCACTCGCCGGCATTGAAACCCTCACACAATCGGACCCCACGACGATTTGTGGTGTAGCGCCCCTCCGTCACGTTATGACTTTTATCCTCAAGTCGAAGCTTTATGCCCGGGGACTTGACCTTCTCAATATCCCGCTTGTGGTCGCCCTCAGTCTCCACGAACGCGCTGGCGGAGGCGCTCTTGGTAAGGATGAGCATGCATGGATCTTCAAGCTCATCTTTCCAAAAGCGTACTGACTCAACGAGCATGCGCATAGAATGTTCCCACGGCATGTCGGGATCATACTCGTGTGCAAGGCCCGCGGCTGCAGCCTTCCGTTGTTCTTCCGCTGCCAGCCTCCGGCATCGTTCCCATTGCTCTTGCCGGGCTCGGACTTCGGCTTGATAAATTATGGTCCAGCATTTTGCACCATAGCACGTATGGTACTTCCTGATGAGGTTGACATAAGCTTCACAACGTGCCTGAGTGAGAACTCCGAGCATAATCGATGCTGACCTGAACACTCTAAAGTTTGCCTCCCACTGTTCGAAGGTGCTGGGACCGGCAATCTCAACAGTGATCAACTCACCAGATGGGCTCAATCTCAAGCCTTTCAGTTTCAGCTTCTTGAGGAGCCTAAATCCATGGGGTCCCCAGACTCCGAAATCGACAAAAGGCGGGGATCCCGCCTTGCAAACTGCCCTGAGCGCAGTGAGCTGGTCACAAGTCGGTTCCTCATCTGCTGGGGGGTAATCCCCAAACGACTTCTTATAACGATCGTAAGCCGCCTGGATCTCGCCCTTGTCGAGCACCGCCTCTTCTGTGTCGTTGGTCTGGTCAATTACATTGCTGAGCTTCACCTTCTTTGGTGGGGGTTCCGCTGATCCTGACGCTGTTGCAACAGCAGCAGCGGGGGAGGTCCCAATTCGATTTGGCTCTGTGCCACACTTCACCCTGCAAGCGCGCCCAACCAATCCAGCCTGGCCAACTTGATTAGCTGTTGGTGGAACTGTGGCAGTCGGATGCTCAGTGGTGGGTGCAGGAAGGGTCCACATGGAAATGATGGACTTGTAATCTTCCACGGGGATAATGCCCATATTCCGCACAGGAGTGGTGCCTTCCACTCCCAACAATTGGAACAAGGACGTCCTGGCATTTCCACCTAATCCGGCCCACAAGGCAGCATCATGAAGGGTATTCATGCTTGCCAGCTCGGTATCGGAAAGTTCCATAGCAATCAAGGACGGCCGGCCGCAGCAGGGTTTCTTTTTTTTTCTCAAACACGGTAGCTAAAGGTTTCTCAAACACGGCAGCTAAAGGCTTTGAGCCTTGAGCTGCGTATGTTAAAGGGTTGCCTCCACCCATGCAGTGCGCCGAACAATTGCGAGCACGACTTCTGAACCAAAGTTGCATGCCCGGAACCTTGAATAAATCCATCTAAACCCCACACCCTACACCCTAAACCCCAATCCCTGAACCCTAGTGCAACTGCGGACAGGCCTGGGGGTCATCAGCTGGCAGCTGCAGCAAATGCCTCCGACAATGGTATGCCTATTATCGTGGTCGCAACTAAGCAAAGAGTACTTTAGGGTTTAGGGTTTAGGGTTTCTGATGATGAGAACAAGACTGATCAACACCAGTCAACATGAGTGTGGGACATTACATTACCTACAATCATGATAACAACAAACACATTTCCTTTGCCATCACGACAAGAACAGTTATTCTGGATTATTCTGTATCTGTTCATTCAGCACCGTTACCCCAGCCCTACGCCGCCCCTACACGCTGCCTAACATCCAAGCACCGATTCTGTCAGTGGCGACCGTGGTGGCGACGACGATGGCGACGGCAGGGCTGATGCTGAGGATGATGATTCTGCTTGCGACGAGTCGACAGCTGTTCTTGAACACTACCATTCACCGCAGAATTTATATGCAAATACTTCTACCCGCAGGCTACCGCAACGACCACTACTACCCTTACACTTACTTACCTCTTCATCCTTCGCCATCTTCACGATTGCTCTCATTCTGTGGTCGGAAAGCAGTTATCATGTTCTCCAAGCGAGATGAAGGCTGGGCTCTGGTCAAACTTGTCACTAGTGACACTAGTGCTGTTGATGGACAAAAGTCTGCATGACCCAAGTAGAGTATAGTACCATCTTCCCATAGTTTAGGTATATACAGCCATGCAGGATTTTGTCCATCAGCCGTAGTTCAGGGCTCTTGTTTTTGCTGTGGTCGGGTCCAGCTCCGCCCTCCACAGGGAATGAACTCCAGCGTCGGAAAGCCAAATACAGGGGTCTGAATAAGGCGGTAACATCATCCTCTTACAGTTCCTGTGGGTTTTTAGTCACCCTTTAAACAAAAACTCGATGCCCTGTTCTGTTCATTAAACCGATAATTACCCATGGGCCCCTAAGTAGTTCCGTGTTATGGTTTATATGTATGAATCCTATAAGGTAATCCCAAAAAGGAACTACTTAGGGGCCTATGGGTAAACCCCCAAACCAGGAAGCTCCACTTCCCTAAACCCTAAACCCTAAAGCTGGGTTTAGGGTTTATATTATATTTTTAGATGATATATTCCTCATTAGAAAAATATAAGAGAAAAATCGATAGCTCTCTCTCTCTCTCTATATATATGATATGGTTTAGGGTTTAGCCCAAAACCAGGACGACCCAGGCAAACAAAGCTCCCAGAAGACCCGAGTCAGTGGCCTGACTAGCGAGGCCATTCCTTGACCGGTCCATCGCCCCTTCATGGGTACTTCTCTAAACTTGCTTCCCGTTTTAGGCCCCCAAAATAGTATGGCACCCTTAGAACAGGGACCCTAAAGGGGGACCCTCACTTAGAGAACTACCCTCACGTCCCCCTCTGACCCAGAAATTCTCAGGGCCTGAAGCTGTGTCCGGCGTGCTAAGTTCTTTCGCCTAAACCCTGAACCTTACAATCCGAAACCCTCGACGTCAAGAGCGTCTGAGGTCCTGGGCTAAAGCTGTTTGGGGGCTTAGGGCTTAGAGCGTCGACGAGGAGATGGCGCTTGTGTTTCTGCCAAGAGAGATGCGGGTGTCGCGCGCGCTTAAAACCCTAAACCCTGGGCCCTAAACCCTAACCCCTAGGCTAAGCCCTAAACCCTAGGCCCTAAGCCCTAAACCCTAGGCTAAGCCCTAAACCCTAGGCCCTAAACCCTAAATCCTAGGCTAAGCCCTAAACCCTAGGCCCTAAATTGTGTCTCCAGAGCCCTTGGGCCAAAAGTCACGGTGAGGCACTGCGTTTCTGCTGTCGCAGGCGGAAATCCAAGCCTCGAAGGCGATTACGAGGGCCCGTGCCCTATTTAGGGTTTAGGGTTTAGGGTTTAGGGGTTTAGGGTTTAGGGTATACCCTCAAGGTCCATTATATTGGGGGCTACTCAATTACATGTTATTAGATGATAAAAAGAATTCTGATATAGTTTAGAATGTCATGGTACATTATGCTAGTTATGCTCAAGTATACTGTCTTCAAGCATGTTAATTTATGCTACAGTATATTACTTTCTATAGGCCCTATAAGCCTTCAACCCCTAAATTGGCTCAGTGGGAACCCTAAACCCTAAACCTTAAACCCAAAACCCTACAACCCCTAAATTGGCTCAGTGGGAAACCCTAAACCCTAAACCTTAAACCCAAAACCCTACAAACCCTAAATTCGCTCCGTGGGACACCCTAAACCCTAAACCCCAAACCCTATAAACCCAAAATTCGCTCCGTGGGACACCCTGGCCCTTCTTTTCTTGGCGCCGGCGGCGGGGTGGTGCGTGCAGTGCTGGCGCCTCCGCGGGGTCCTTTCAGAAGGAGGAGTAGGAGAGTTAGGGTTTAGGGTTTAGGGTCTATGGTTTAGGGTTTAGAGTTCTGGATTCAGGGTTGAGGAGTAGGAGTGTTGAGGGTTTCGGATGCAGGGTTTAGAGTTCTGGGTTCAGGGTTGAGTAGTCGGAGTGTTGAGGGTTTTGGTTGCAGGGTTTAGAGTTCTGGGTTCAGGGTTGAGTAGTCGGAGTGTTGAGGGTTTCGGGCTCGGGGTTTGGAGTTCAGCTGCAGAAACAGTAGATAGAGTCACTGACAGAAGCAGCAGCAGCAGTGCTGGTCAAATTGTTCTTGGTGAACGTTTTCGGGCTTGCCATGTAGACGCAAGCGAGGATAAGGCGCACATTCGCATGCCCCATGTGGTTACAGGCATCAGACATGATGTTTATGCCAGCCAACAATAGGCAAGAGCAGATCTAAGGGGTCTACGAGACTGATTCCAAACAACAGCAGAAAGCTCACAAACAAACCGGCTCCAGCTCAGTTTGGAGGGGTCAGATGGGTTTGCCATTCACTGATGGGTTGCCATTTGGCAGGAAGCATTGAATCTTGAACCCTCAAAACCTTTTGTACCAACAAGCCCGGCATTGAAACTAAAGGCTAGTCAGACAAGCAAACATAATAAGCTACGGATTCAACCGTTTGGGGTTTAGGGTTTAGGGTTCAGCAGCAGCTGGCCACGATAGTTCGCCGCTAGCAACCAGGACAAAGTGATGCATGATCGTCAACAATACAATCCTTCTCCATCTCATCCCAATTTAGATAGAAGCCCGTAACCGCATCCTCGTCCCCCTCGCCATCAGCAAAATGGAGAAGTGCCAAAATCCAATGTGGCTCATCTTCATCATCATCATCATCCTCATCATCACCGTCATCACAACCATCAGCATGGTCATAATCGCCATCATCACCATCATGATGGACTCCCGCTCCCCCGGGAGAACGTCATGCTAAGTTTAGCTATAGTGCCCAGTGGTGGGTTCAGTGCTCTAAGTACAAAACACCGTGGCCTAAAGCCCATGTTAAACCTTGAATGGGCTTACCGGCAAGTGGTGTCTTTTGCTTTCAGCCAATTACAAAGGCTGGGTATGGGCATCATCGCCCGCGCAAGCGCCGATTGCCAACTATGGCAATGGCCCAAGCTTGAACAAGCAAGGCTACTCCTAGGCCTTACTTCAGCCGGTGCTTGAATCAAACAACCCGCTACAACCCATCAAGCCTAAACCTTACTTAACACCCGCAATCATACTGCTAGAACGTGCTGTGCCTTTCGGGACCTCCAGCTATCTAAGATAAGTCATGGGCAAACCGCACGGCGGTTGTCTGACTTTCCAGTGTGCACAACTGGAGCTGCGCCGCGTGTACGATGTGGCTGTCGGTTGAGGGTTTGGGATGATGAGATCGACAGTGCAAGCAGCACACCTTGGCGACAAGGTTTTGTTGTGAGCTCCCGTATATTCCAAGTAGAATCTCAGCAGGATCATGGTAACCACTCAGGAGAACAGGCGGCACTCTGTTCTACATAAGTTTACATGTAGTGACTCACATACATACATAATACATATATTCTTGGTGAGTGGCTAAGGGGTGGAAACAAAATGGTCGGGTCGCGGGCTGAGCTAATCTAACTATCTTGGCTCTTCCGCTCCGCAGCAGACCACATGATCTTCGACAAACTCGAGGACGAACATCCAACCAGCATAGCCCAAATAAACCAAGACAGGCTGAATCCTGATCTGTGCCTCAAGGGCTACACATTGTAGTGCCCGTTCAACGCTGTTTAGAGCTGCAGGGTTGGGATTTCGGGCAGCGACCACAACTCTTTGCTCGTGCAGCATCAGAGGACGTATAGTAGCACCTTCAAGCGCACTGCCCTAAACCCTATAAGCCCTAAACCCTAAGGATGCAAGAGCAGCATCTGACAGGGCTCGAGATTTATCTTCTCCGTGCCGACGATGGCGGAAGTTTAAAGACAGGAAGTCACCGGGTTCCGGTTCAGGGTTCAGGGTTTTAGGGTTTAGGGCTTTGGGTTCAGGGTTTTAGGGTTTAGGGTTTTGGGTTCAGGGTTCTCGGGTTTTAGGGTTTAGGGTTAGAAATCCAGCGCGGCACAGAAGACCAGAGGCGCCTGATTCAAATGCGTCTGCTGCCTGCAGCCAAGTTCATCTCGGCCTTCGTAACCGGATGTCTACTTAAGGGCCGAATACCTTAGCCCCAAAAAGGTTAACCTTTTGAATGATAAT